ACATTTCTTACTTTGATGTGTGGCTAAAAACCCCCATTCTTGGGGTGTGATTTAGCAAATATGGATTGATATTCTTGTTGGGTCTTGCTTGCTGATAGGTTAGATGTATGTTAATGGTGATTTCACCTAGTGGTTGTGGTTTAATCTAAAGGGTTTGTAGTTGCAAATACAAAGCCACCCATGTATTTTCGGCTTGCCCGAGAGGGAGGTCACGCAACCAAAACCACTAGACTGATGGCCTAAGGAGTGGGTCGACATGAGGTTCAGCCCGAGAGGGTGAGCCCTAGTCCCATATCCTAACACTCAGCTCGAGAGAGTGAGTGGGGTAAGGCGTAGGCTGGTATTCATGCGGCAAATGGGTGTCTGAGAGGAACGCATTTGAAACGGGGTAAGTTGCTCGAGAGGAATTTATTTCCATTTTAAAGCTTAGTCTAGTCACTATTATCTTACAAATTTCCTATTGAAAGCATGTACCCAGCGATTTTATCTCAACTTGCATTGCGGTCACATCCCAAGAACCTTTCCCCATACTTGATTTTCTTGTTTATTTTGCCGATTTAGCACTTGTTACAAAAACCCCATTTTATATTTGACACTTTCGTGCACCCCCTTTAATTTACTATGTCTTTTATCGCAAATGTATTTAGCTACGACTAATTCAAATGAAATTCTAATTGGCTATTAATTCTCAAAATTGCTCCCTTGGGACACGACCCCAAACCTCGGTTGGCTAACTATATTATCGATGATCGTAGACACTCATACAGTAGGTTAGTGTCGTTGGTCACGATAAGCATCACAGACCGAAAAAATCCTTGTATGGCCTAAAACAGGCCAGCAGGCAATGGTATGAGATGTTGGAAAATAGTCTTTGTTCAAGAGGGTATCAACACTCTGATAGTGACTATTCATTGTTATATAAAAGGAAGGGGTGCTCCTTGGTGTTTGTTTCCATATATTTGGATGATATAATCATGACTGGTACTGATGCAACTGAGATTAATTTCTTAAAGTGCTTCCTGAATGACCAGTTCAAGATAAAAGATTTGGGTAAACTTCACTACTTTTAGGCCTAGAAATCGTGTACAGGCATGATGGTGTTCTAATTTCTCAGAGGAAGTTCACTTCTGATCTCCTGAAGGATTTTGATGTGTTGAGTTACAAGGCCACTACATCACCACTTGACTGCACTGAGAAGTTAACAGCCACAAATGGCAAACTCTTAACTGATTCTACTCAATATAGGAAGTTGGTTGGGAAGCTCAATGTTCTAACTAATACTAGAATGGACATATATAGTGTGCAACATTTGAGCCAATTCATGCAATCACCTAGGGAACCACATTTGAAAGCAGCCTACAATGTACTCCGATGTTTGAAACAGGATCTAACAATGGGGATTTTCATTTCAAACAAGCCTGATCTCACTATCAGTGCCTATTGTGACTCTGATTGGGCTGCTTGCCCTAACTCAAGGAAGTTTGTTAGTGGATACCTAGTACTTATGGGAGACAGTCCTATCAACTGAAAGTCTAAGAAGCAAGCAACAGTGTCCCTATCATCTGCTGAAGCTGAATATAGAGCAGTGAGACAAGTTGTGGGAGAGTTATTGTGGCCTGAAAGATTGTCGGGTGAATTGACTGTACAATGCTCCTTGCCTATACATGTCCATTGTGACGGTCAAGCAACAGACCATATTGTCAAGAATCCAGTTTTTCATGAGAGGACAAAACACATCGAAATTGATTGTCATTTTGTTATGACTAAGCTTCAGCAAAGATTAATCATATTCCATCATATACCCACTGATTCACAGTTGGCAGACATCTTCACCAAGGCCTTGACTGGGGTTAAACATACTACTCTATTACACAAGTTGTCTGTAATTACATCACCTCAAACTTGAGGGGGGTGGGGTGATGAGAATATAAAGTATAGAGTCCATTAGTTAGTTGTGTACAGTAAAGTTAGTCATGCACAGTAAAGGTAGTTAGTGTCAAGTTGTTAGTTAGTTAATTTCCAGCTGTATTCTGTTAGTGATTGTATATATAGAGTCACATTGTAATGTTTACTCTCTAATTCACATTCAATACAAACACAAGTTTTCTCTCTCAATACAGTTACTCTCCAGTCGAGTTGATCTCCATTAACAGAGGAATGAAGCTAATCAATGGTGTTAGTTTTATCAGCAACGTTTGTTTAATTTAAGCAATATTCATATCTAGGTGGGATTGCAGTTAGCACAATGTTGCTCACATAAGGAAGTTAATACTTGCATTCAACATTATAATTGAATGAAACTTCTTAACAGAATCCTAACTAATTGATCGACTCACTCAATGGTTGCTAAAATAAAATTTACAGTATTAGGTGTATCTAGTCACAATCCAAAATTCGGCACCAATAGGTAAGCTAACCCTTCAACAATCAATTCCATAGGTAGAACATGAGAAATTTAAATACTTATTCAAAAGCGGAAGTAAGTCTTGACTAGATTTTTTCATAAAAATCAATATGACAAGTGGAAAGACCAAGTCAATATCCCAAAAGTTGGTGACATCAATCTCCAAGTGTACATAACAACGTGTGTTTAAAAATGAGAAAACGGGAATAAAACATCCAAGCAGCTATCTCTAAGACTTGATAAACTCTAAACAACTGTGGAGATCAGCCAACACTCTTACCGAGCACACAACAAGGTGCAGAAAGTGCATTACATTGAGTATTACGAAGCATAAATATATTACCAAGTTTGTACGGAAGCAGAAAGTCCTAACTCAATGGAGAGTGGTGTTCTGGTGAAAACAAAGAGGAGAAATGGAGTTTGATGGTGAAAGGCTGAAAGCGAGTGCAGATGTCAACTCCAAATTTTTGCTCGAGACCTTTTTTTTTGCCCTGTATGCCCTATTTTTGAATATGTTACTGGTATAAAAATGTGTGCATCACAAAGAAAAAAAGAGAGATATGCATTTAAATGTATGTTCAAATACTTTTGAGACAACAATCAGACCTATATCAATGTTTGGTGGTGGGTGAGAGTAATAATATAATAGAGTAGTTCAATTATCAAGATCGGGTCTGTTTGGAAAGCCATCAGGTAATTGGTTCACCTCTTCTCAAGACCGGGTCTGTTTGGAAAGTCATCCCAATCTCGTTCACCTCTCTCCGTCCTCTGTCAATCTCGTCCGCCAGATATACAAATACATATGTATACCAGTTACATTATACATTTTGGGTCTCTCCACTCTCTGCCCTCTGTCGCTCGCCTCTCTTCTCTCTCTCCCTTTTTCGCTCGCCAAATATACAAATACATATGTATACCAGTTACATTATACATTTTGGGTCTCTCCACTCTCTGCCCTCTGTCGCTCGCCTCTCTTCTCTCTCTCCCTTTTTCGCTCGCCAAATATACAAATACATATGTATACCAACTATATATATAAAATCTATACATGTACAATTCGACGGATATATATATATATATATATAATTCGCATATCTCCACTCTCTACCCTCTCTCACTCGCCTCTCTCATTCCTCTCTCAATCTCGTTCGACTATCTCCTCCATACAACATGTAGCTAGGAATCGTAATTAACAAACTATAGTTATGGAGCATAATTAAATTATTTTTGAGTGGCTATATGCGAAAATTCTCCTTTAAAACTAGGGCTTATAAGCCCAACTGATAAGGATGGAAGAGGCAATTGAAATAAATAAGAAAACATATGTGGAATTATTAAAATTTAATCGAATTAATGAGCAACAAATGACTTTATACCTTCATCTCTCAATTGAATCCAGTTAAACAACAATAACCCAAACTCAAACGAAAACGAGAAAACCAAATTGAATCCACAATGAGGGTAACTCGATGATCGGTTAAGCGAGAAGAAGTTAACCATCAATTCTAAGAGTTAACCACTAATGACTCACTAATTCCTTAAGTGATTTAAACTAACACTAAATTAGCAACAACAATTTGGGAGCATTCAATTTCAACATTCAATATACTCTATGTCTTCCAAAATGAAAAAGAGAAAAATGTTTGAAATATATTCGAACTTTGACCGAAATTATTGTAGCAATACTGAACTTTAGAAAGGACCTTTTACCCTCCTACACTATTTAATAGTGTATTTTAAAGGTATATATATGCCCACGTAAATATCATAAATATTGCATCATTATAAATAATAATGTGTCTACATGGGCACATATATACCTTTAAAATACATTATTAAATAGTTCAGGAGGGGTAAAAGGACTTCCATAAAGTTTGGTATCGTAACAGCAATTTTAGCCAAAGTTGAAGTATTTTTCAGACCCATTTCCCAAAAGACTAATATTTATACTAAGGAAATAAAGAAGACATTTCTTTGACAATTTTACCCTTAATGGGATAAAGACCTTGTTTGGTTGCCTTCTTTTATGAATTCAAGAATTCATAGAGATGGTCATTTGCACACATGGCCACTTTCTTCCTTCTCTTCACTTTGATGGACCTTTAACACATTATACGTCTTTATTTGGTGTCCATCAAGCTCCTCTAAAGCTTTCACGTGATCGAGGCCGATCGGGGTTAGTCCATGGGCCAAAACTATTTATTTAAGGGTAACTCATAGAAATCTCACTAGTGTATGATCTAATTACTAAGATACATGCTATGTTGTAATATTATGAATCTTACCAGATTTTGCTGCGTCCAGATAAACTGTTTAATAAGGTCAATTGTTTATTTATACTTGTAATTTTCAAAAGACAAACCTTATATATACATGATATAATTATTTTACGAAGTGGGTTCATATGAACCGTCTTGACCTAACGACCAAATGTAGGTCCACCCCTTGTTATAACCGTCCGCTAGCAACAAAAAAAATTTTCTCTACCAAAAATAGAAAGCTCTGATACCAATTCGAATAAAAATATTTTATTCATAAACTCAAATAATTTCTTCAATATTTCACAATTTCTCCTCTAGTCAACTTTAATCTCTTATTTCAGTTTTGAATTATTATTCCAACAAGTACAATTTTTAGGTGGATAAACCAAGTCAAGAATTGATGACAGACAAGTTCCCTTGAAGTTCATTTTTTTTTTAGTAAAATACAATTATTAGATGAAAGAACCAAAAAAAGAATTGGTAATAGAAATGTTATTCTAAGGTTTCATTTTTTAGTAATAGTACAATTACTAGATGAACCAAGTGAAATATTGTAAATTATTGTCCCGTGAGTTAACAGTTCAAGTAATTTTAAAATGTATTTTTTTAATCTTCCACAAACATATGTATCAAATAACCTTTTCTATCAAGTTTCGTACATATGAAAAGAAAATCACCTAATTTCTTTTTTCTCCAAAATAAAAACATCTAAACCTTATTTTCAACTCATTTCATTGATCATCAACTTGTATACATTCACAATGCAAAAAAATATATTTCATTCCGTCAAATTAAAGTAACTTATAACATTATGAAACTAAATCTGATAAAATGTATTATACTTGCCAATAAAATATACTAATAATTAATAAATTAAAAAAATTATATTGCATATTACCTATATCAAGGGCGGAGCTAGTAGCCCACATACAGATTCAAAATCTACTAAATTCAGTTGAATAAATAGATTATTGAATCATATTATGAAGAATTATTTGAATTTATGAATAAAATATTTTTACACAAATTGGTATCAGAGCTTCAATGATATTTATAGACAATGTAATGAAACATGGATGAAAAATACAATATAATTTTTTAAATTATATTAGTAAAAAAAAATTACTAGAATATCATATTGACGACATTAATTTACATAATATAAACTATTCTTTTTAATTTATAACATTAAGTTTTAATTCCAAATATGAAAACATTTAAAATAACAGGTTATACACGTTTTTAGTTATTTTTTATTGAATTAGTGGACTGATTTTGTGGAACTCGTAATTTGTTCTGTTTATTTTTTAAAATCTCAATCACAATTATATTCGAATACTTTCCTTATTAAAGATCTCATTTTCTCTCTCTTATTTTCCTTTTTAAGAAAGAAAGATCATTTAATTGATCCTCATCAATTTCAATGTTAGTAACAAGCTGAAAAAATATATTTATTTCATATTTTCTTGGTAACAATTTTAAGTTGTTTTCTTTCTTTGATTTTGTTCAAAATCATCTTAAACAAACAAAGAATTTGTATTTGCTTCTAAGAAAAATCAAGAATGAGTAGAATTTTTTTTCGAAAACATATGATAGGGCGGCATGCTCTTCTACATTGTCACTTTGCTCGACTTTAGAAATTTTCACTTGGAGTAATTTGAGTTTGTTCATATTCAGCCACATCTGAAATATGAACAAATAAACAATAAAAATGATTGAATCTTTCAATGTGATAACATCTGCCACTTTCATTTGTAGAAGACAAAAAAAAACTCTCTTTAAGAAATATAAGGACTAAACGAATTTCTTCATATCAAATAAAATATTTAAATACACCATAATGTATGTAAACAAATTATTAAC